TTACAAGTGTATTAGCTAAAACACGTTCACTAATGCATTTTCAAACACCAGTGCTGAAAAAAGCAAGCTGCGCTTTTCCACAGGTGAGTTGGAAGTTCATCATGACCAGCTATCCCATGCTAAACACAGAGCCTGCCCTGTATACACAGCAGCATTTAAAAACACCTTTCCCCTCTCATCTAGGTAAGCCATTCAAAGAGTTACTTACTTACTGCACAAGAGTGAACAAGTAGCAGGGCACTAGGGGAACAAGAGATCCATTTTTCCCCCATTCACTGCTCCTGTTCATATTAGGGATCCACATAAAAACAAAGCGCTCATCACAAAGCACTGAGAGGTACTATGCACCCTCAGCTCCCATTGACTTGAATGGCTCAGCACTTCACATCACTGGACCTAAGCCAAGCAGCTGAGGACAAACCAATTGGTAGGTTTGGATGATTTAATCAGCTTTCACTACAGCACACATTGTGGCTCACAAAGACTAGTTTTAGACATCCCAAATGGCTGGGTTTTATTATTTTAAAAGCAACTTTCTGAAAAACATCATAGTTTGTTACACACTCAGACCAGGTCCACATTAACTCTCTCAGGTGATAGGTTACTATTGCCTTAAAAACTTATTTGGGTAGATCCCGTGTTTGTGATCACCAGTGCAATCAGTTGCCCCTCTGCAGACAATCATTACAGCAGTCTTTTCTTGATCCCTGCTTTTCAGGCACTCCAGTGAATTCACCCCAGCAAACCAGGGAGATTAAACTGAACATCTGTTTAAGACAGAAAAGCAGGCTGCATGTAATGTCAAATCAACAGTCCAGGCATCCCAGCCCCAGACTAATAATACCCACTAATCTTGCAAGTTCAGAAGGGGAGATATTCATTCAGAGTTTCAAAACCCAGTTATGCATTTTAATTTTCTGAGGCCTGGCATCCTTTTCTGCTCCCCTCACCACCCTTTGACCTCCAACCCCAATTGTGGTGGCTATTTTTCAGCTGAAAAAAAAAGACCAAGTGCAGTGGGCTTAGCTTGTGTTGCAGCTGTGTAGTTTTCCTTCACTGGTGAGGAAAAAAATCATTTGAATCATGAGTAAACTGAGGAGGAAGAATTAAAAAAGGGGTTCAGCTGAAGCTACAGAGATCTCCGCTGTAGTCTGTTTGTATTTCACACCTTTCTCGGCTGTTTTGGCAGCAGAGCTGTGTTCTGATAAAGAAGCAATGTTCTAAGCCTGAAAGGAGACTTCATAGCTCAGTGAGTTAACTTACCCACCTAAGTAGTGGCTATCTTTGCTAGCCTCCTGTGACAGTCCTGTAATCAAACCGTCCTTCCCTACGTATTGCCAGATTTATGTTTTGCTAAGCTTTTATATTAATTGTTTTATCACTCTACAGTGAAAATGGCAACCCCTTCCGCACATTTTCTTACCATCACCTGGAGCAGGTGTCATGGTCCTTGCTCTGTATCAAACCAAAGAGAGCAGAACACCTCACTGTCTGCTCTCGGCTTCAGTCCAGAGATCAGTTCACTTTTCTGACCTGGCCTGTGCTGTGACCTGCCAACTTCCTTAGTTTCTACTCCTAGACCAAGGACCTGGCTCTTCCTGTGCCCTGAAAGTTGCAGTGATTACAGCACAACAGGGTGGAAGAACACTACATCACTATGCAACAGTGCCTTGCTGCAGGGGGACCACTGGCTTTCCTCATCTATAGAGAGCAGCTGCTTTTTTGTCCCTCCGCCCCACCCCAACCTTCCCTCACGTACACATGTGCAGCAGGCACTGCCGTGCAGTGGCAATTGCTGTGTGGAAGTTTTGTGATATCGACACGTCAATGTTTTTTTAATCACTGCCTGACTCTCCCACAGCTAGCTGCGGATCAGCTCGGTTTGCACAGATTAAAAAAAACAACCCCCTGTAGATGGGGCGACATCCCGTTTTCCTTCTTTCCTCTTTTTTAAATTAACAATCAAAGTTTTAAAACTGCACGCCCATTCCCTAGGGGTTTCCAAACAGCTCATCGAGTTCTTGCATCCACTCGTCCCCTGGTCCACCCTTAATGATAGAGTCCACAAGGTCTGCACCCTCCGCTAGGCTTGAGAAGGAGCCCCCTGCTCCTTCGCCACTGTAATTGTACAACATGTCCTGAGTGGGATTCCTCTCGTAAGCCTGGCCTTGGCTGCTCTGAGCAAAGTTACCACCTGGCATCTGCTGTGCAGAAGGCTGACTGAAACCAGACATAGTGGGAACCCCTTGGCTAATGGCAGGCATAACCATTGGCCTTGCCTGACTGGTTCCTTGTTGCCCAGGCAGTGATTGCAGCATTTGTCTTCCCATTGCTGGGTTCAGGGTTCTTACTGTCCCAGTAGTGTCCACAACTGACTGGTTAATTCCCTGTGGAAAATGCTGCTTGGGCAGCCTTGGCTGCCCAGGCTGCATTGGATATGTTGTGCCATTGTTGAATGGCCCCATTTCACTGGTAGTCCTTCCAGGGATACCTTGTAGTCCTCGTTGCTGCCAGTTTTGTGTTCCTTGTGGAACAGTTCCCATTATGTTTTGAAGTCTTGGTGCCTGTGGCCGAGGTAAGATCTGGCCCACAGGTCCTTTCATCTGCTGTTGATGTTGAGGAATAGCAGAGTTCACCAGCATATTTTGACCAAAACTACTGATCATTCCGACCCCTTGTCCAGAGACAGGCTGCCTTGGTCCCTGGCCTGCATTGTGTGCCATGTTCATGCCACTTTGGTTTGGGTGCTGCAACATTTGGCTCATCCCTGTGCTCATACTGTACATTCCCGTTTGGCTGGTAGATGTGTTGCTGTAAGGAGCCATTCCCATCTCGGACTGACCCGCTGCAGTAGACATTGTGCCAGGGTTCTGAGAAGGTGCCATTGCCATCATGCCTGCACTCTGGGCCATCATTCGGGAGGTCCTCATGCTCTGAAGCGCTGCCTGGTTTCTCACAGCTGCTATATCCTGGGGAGAACCTACAGCAAGGAGAGAGAAAAAACCCCATAAAACTTCAATAGCGCATCTTTGCAAAAACAAGAATTTGGAGGAGCCTTTTGGATCACAGGAGGATTCCAGATCTCCTTGCTTTAGAAGTGAATAAATTATTCTCTCCTCTGACAGCTGAAGGAGAGTGGAGAAGCTTAACCACACTGGGAAGACATGCTCTAACCCACTGGTTTTCAACCTGTGGTCTGCAGACTATGTCTAAAGGGTTCGCAAAAAATGACTATGATCAATCAAAAGTATGGGAATCCCCACACTTACAGTTCAAAGGGGTCCTCACCTCCACTCGAAATTTTTAAAGGGGTCCGCTAATGAAAAAAGGTTGAAAACTACTGCTCTAGCCCTTTTGTTATTTACATTTTGGTAGTGATGTGCATCCCTGTACAATTCTGGCTCTGACCTCAACCCTGATCAGCGAAGTCCCTTTCGTTGAAGGTGAGAGGCAACACAGCTCTAGTGCCACTCTAAATGGGGATTGCTGATCATGTTATGTATTCAATTTGTGAAGTGAAACACTGTTCAGGAGAGAATACAATACAGACCATTAAGCTAATTTCCCTTAAGACCTAAAATGGGCCTGGAGAGGTTAAAGGCCAATGATTTACTCACTAAGCAATTCTCCTTTATGGCAATTTGGGGATTTGTCCCCATAGAGATCCATGGGCCTTCAGTTCCCTGTCTTAAAAGTATCAACACAACTTGATTCTGTGCATGATCCAGCCCAATCCATCATTGTCTTCATGATAAAGCACCGTACAAGGTTCTCTTGTTAAACTTGGAGGCTCTGAAGCTGCAGTTATGCTGCATAGCCACTGTACTGAGCTCTGTAGCTATACTGAGGTAGGGTTATCCTATCAGATTAATGTGACCAGCAATAACATTTTCAAAGGCCTATCAGTGACCTAGGAGCCCAAATCCTACTTCCAAACTAATGTAGGCATTTAGAGGCTTTTAAAAACTTTACCTGTATCCTAGAAGCGTTTATTATGTACCAATGTATAACACTGAATCATCCCCTCATTGGGAAAATGTGGAGTTTTTTAATGTGAACACATACAGGTCTTGACCTTCCTTGTGTTGTATTCAGCTGCACTTGCAGTCTTATTCTGTTCAGATGTGGGACCCAATCCTGCCTCTGTCACATCCCATTGAACTTCACTGGAAGCAGGGTAACTGAACTCCAGTTAACCATTTGAGCATCTTTTTTAAATATCTCTATTGTCTTTCAAAACTGAGCCATGAAAATGGAAATGTCAGACTCAGAAGGCCAATCAATTTTTTAATAGCTCAGGAGGCAAAAATGAATGGATTTCCTATATCATTGTTACTGATGAAGTCTATGGAAAGAAGAAAAATTGTTTTTTGTGGACATTTAAAGCAGCGAGAGTGTATTAGTGAATCAATACTATAAGCACATTGTACTCCACCTTGGCCCAGTGATGGGAAACCAGAAAATCCTAACCTTGTTAAATTCCACACCGTGGCAGATAACTGAACCGCGCTTGTGTCTTCCTGATGGGGGTTATCGATTTCTGGGAAGCCAATATGCCTTCGTATTTACTATCTTTATTTAAAAACAATTACAGGAATTCTGATGATGCCAAGGGTTCATTGTGGTTTCGAGTCAATACTATACTGAACTAAAACAATGAAATCCTCTACAGGGGATGCTGCAACAGGAGGATGCAGACAATTACTCACAGCTCAAACATTATTACATTTAAATACAAAAGCAGCCTGCTGTACAGTCCTCCAATTACTCTTGGCTCTCTGTTCTTCCATGGCACGCAATATACATGAGTGTCAGCCTGCAGGACATTTTGCAAGGTGAAAAAGAGCCTGTCTAGATCTCATGTACGCGAAGCAGGGGAGCTGGCAGCTTCTCCTTTGCTTACATTACTGACAAAACTATTTTCTCAATGTTATGCACTGGGGGAGTCTTAACTGTTTCCCAGGTTGGATCTCCTCCTCCACCATTTGTGACTGGTCTCAATTTTTTTCACAGCATTTTTCACAGCCACTTTCTCTCCCTTCTGCTAGGCAAGAGCATAGTACTTTTGTAATGGCTTCAGCAAGGGCTTAAGTGGAAAAACAGTATTAGAAAAATATTTAATGCATTTTTAGCTGTATTATAATGCCATTTAGCGGTTGGAAACAAGCAGAAGAGCCTGTACCAACTAGCATGCACTACAATTTGAGAACTGCTATTATACTAGTGTAAGAAACAGGAGTGAGTATAGGTTAGATGGACAGATTTTAAAGTATTTTTAGAGAGACAAACATCTTAAGACACTGAGCCAAGTTCTCCTCTTAGCTGCATGCAGGCAGTTCTGGTAAAGTCCATTGGTTCCCATGGTTGTAACTGAATGAAGATTTTAGCTATGTATTTTTTTAAACTGGCTTATACATGAAAATGAATCCCCTCTTTGGTCAGGTTACACCAGCGGTTCTCAACCATTTTGAACTCGAGGTACCCCTCGATAACTTTTGTGAATTGAGCGGCACCCAACTTCAAAAACTAATTTACAGACTACAGTGCTTGTTTCTTTGCAGAGAGGCCTAGCAGTTTAATTTAACTGCTTATCTCCTAACACTTCACTCATCTTCTCACACCTCATGGCACCCTTCAAAAGATCTGGTGGCACCCCAGTAGCCTGGTTGGGAATCACTGAGTTTGACTGTATTTTCTTTAAACCAACAGATTTGGTAGCATATTTCACAGATGAGAGAAAGAGCACTTTTTTTGTGCAAGTTTCTCAGCTAGTGTGTGCTGCCCTTCCATTCTGCCAATGGTTTGGCAGGTGTTCTTGAAGTGCATATAGGAATTATGCTGCCAGAGATGGGAACATTAGATAATTCAATGAATTTATTGAAACCGTGTCAATTTACACACGCAGAGGATCTAGCCCTTTGTTCACTTGGTGATGTGCCTTCCTCATTTCTTGTCCTGATGCTTGTTGCAATTACACTGTGCTACGTGAAATACTGACTGTGTCAACAACACTTTAGTCCAGTGGTGCTCAATTGTTTGGTCCTGTGGGTTGGTCCACAAGCCAGAACTGGGGGTCAGTGTTCGGATTGGGCCTTGCACCACCTCAGCCTTGCGCAGCTAGATTGGGCCTTGCGCAGCTGGATCAGGCCCCCTGCTGCCTTGTCCCTAAATGCCCAATCTATCAGGGAGGACCATGCTCTCCAGCCCATGGGGCTTCCCAAAGGTCTGGAAATTTAGCAGCAGGGGAAAAGTAATTGAGACTACGCCACCCCCCTGCCACCACATGTTCAGACCCTTGGAAAGCCCAGCAAGCCAGATAACATGGCTCCATAGGCCAATTCTTGCCCACAGGCTGGAGATGAGCATCCCCTGTTTTAGTTCTTAACACAGTTAATGAAGATGTTGAGTTTTCTAAGTATGAGGAGTCAATGCAAAATCCTTGTTCTCCAAAAGAGGATTTTCCTCCCTTAGGTTTTCCTACAATTTATAAATGTTTTGCAAAAATCCTTGCAGCTGCCAAATGTAAGCAATCTCCATTTGCATCTGGGCTAATTAATTCCCCCCACCACTATCTCATGTATATTCTACCTACGCTTTCTTCAGATTAAGATGACCTCTTCTGAAGGGACCAAGTGAAAAAACCGTCCCTAAAAGGGAAGGGGAGGGTTGTTGATAATGGGGCAGGAAGGAAGAACAGCAGAAACAAGAGGGAAGGTGAAGAATTGGCTGAAATAAAGTGAGAGAGGAAGTGGGGAGAAGAGAACCACCCCTCCCCCCCAAATCCAAGAGTCAGAGAGACAGAACAGAGGAGAAAGAAATTTATTCTTAATGGCCAGATTTTATAGGAAAGAGCTTAAAATAACTCAAAACATTTAACTAAGCATGTAAAATTGTGCAGTGCTGTTCTGTGGTTGGGTGTGAATATGCAAAAGGTGAAAAGACTGATTGGCTGTGGCCATCTCTCCAGCCTGCAACACGCTTGGAGGGGATGGACACCCATCTGTCTGCTGCAGAGCACAGCACTGCTTCTCAGGCTATACAAAGCAATTTGCTTTTACCTTGGAACTGGTTGACCTGTTGCACTGGATATGGAGTTCGCTGCTGCTGGAGGTGCTGTCGAGGCAAATGCGACTGCTGCTGTAACTGCTGGAAACCAGAGGGAGGGAACGACAAGGAGGCAAGGGAGAAAAAGTAGGTGGATTAATTAAAGTTCTGATAATGGCACCAACAACAATAATATGCTGCAACTAACCTGTGGAGTTTCCTGTCCAACAGGCTCTTTGGGAGAGACAAGTACCGCATGTCAGCTGGCACCGCATACGGTAGCCTCAAGTGAAGAGCCCTTCTGAGAGTACTTGGGGCACTCAGCACACGGGTTTCTTTTTGGTACAGATAGGAATAGGCACTTATGCTAACATCACCTCTCCCTGCTCACAAGTGCTTCCTGTTGACCTCCCAAGTGCTAGCATCATTGTCTTTGATGTCAAGGCAAGGAAAGAGGAGGCTGGAGATGGGAGGGGAGATTTGTGGAGATGTCTATCAGCGTGAGAAGTGGGTCTCAAATAAAAATATGGATCCAAACCCTCTTGAGCCCTGGAAACTGCTGGAACCAGACTGCCGGAAACACTTCTACAACAGATGGAAGCAAGCCTATGGCTTCCAGACACTCCTGGTTGTGAACAGAACTGGTGCTGGTGCCCATCTCCAGCTAAACAAAATAGCAAGCTAGGCCTCTCCTCCTGCCTTTTATTCAGTTTTGCCTTGTTGCTTCCACTACATGTTTTCTTTACTGTGGAAGAGAGCACCACAAACATGCTGTAGAATTCATCCAAGCTAAGTGAACGGTTCTTGGATAGCGAGTGACAGTAACACATGTCCATATCCTAAGCTACTGCCCACCAGTGCTGAGTTCACACTTCATGGTCACAGTGTGTGAATATGCTTGGCTATTTAAAACACAATTGAATGTTGGTAGTAAAAGTAGAGAGGAAGCCAAATGATGTGTAAGTGTGTGCGAGTGTGTGCACACACATGTGCAGATATATTCCTTTGAAAAGCTACAGTGTGATTCATAGATTCACAGATGTTAGGGTCGGAAGGGACCTCAATAGATCATCGAGTCCGACCCCCTGCATAAGCAG